CCAAACTGCAGAGAAGATGAACCCCCCCCCCCCCCCCCCGGTGTTCTCCCAGAGGCTGAGGGTTTTGAGTGGTGTTTGCAGATTCTTTTGGCCAAATTGCCTTTCATTTCTTTTATTTCTTTGTTTCTTTGTTTCTTTGTTTCTTTGTTTCTTTGTTTCTTTGTTTCTTTGTTTATTTGTTTTGCTGCTTCCCGCTGCTCGGCTGCAGCAAAAGCCGAAAGTGCCGCCAGCGCGGAAACCAAACAGCAGCAGCAGCGCGCAAACAGCTGCTGCCACTCAGCAGCAAGCCGCGGGGCCCCACAGCTGCTGCGCCAGCTGCTGCAGCGCGCTGCTGCTGCAGCACGCTGCTGCTGCAGCACGCTGCTGCTGCAGCACGCTGCTGCTGCAGCCCCAGAGCGTTTGCAGGCTTCAGCCGCGCGCCGCAGCTCCTCGCCTTGCTGCTGCTGTGCTGCTGCTGCAGCGACGCAGCAAGCCAGATCTGCTGCTGCTGCAGCGACGCAGCAAGCCAGATCTGCTGCTGCTGTAAAAACCGCCCAAAGGCCTCTCATGAAACTCGTCGCATGCACTCGCAAGAGCACAGTCTGTTAGCTGCCAATCCGGGGGGCGCCCCGCATGCATGCAGCCACTTAGCCGCGCTGCAGCAGCACTCAGGGGGCCCCGGGGGTTTCTAGTTGCTAATTTCTGAATCTTTAGCTCGAGTGCGCAGGTGTAGATACACCCTAGTTTGGAAGAAACACGAGAAAAGATGCAATCTTCTGAAATGCTCTTCGTTCCAGTTCAATATTAGCACAAAAAGGGCTAATCTTGTGGATATTAAGCCACAAAAGATGCTAATGTTGTAAATATAAAACAAAAAATGCTCTTTATTGATTTTTCTGCGGGTTTCAGTGGCTTGGCGTTCGTACATCCAGCGGAGGCGCACAGAGTGGCAGCGTTGAAGGCTCCGACTGAGCCTTCCGCAGCATCAGTGGCTGAGAAAGCTGCTTAAATATTTTTTAAAGGATAATTTTGCATTTATAAAAATATTAAAAAAGGCAATTTGAAGGTAAAAAGGCGCATTTCAAGCGCGCGCTCTCGTGTACGTACACTACTGGTCTGGCTGCTGCGTGGCACTGCCGACGGCTCGCGCAGCGCGAGCTAGGCGAGCTCGCCTCTACCATAAATATACTTTTGTTGTTTTTTTAATTTAAGAAAAGGAAAAAGATCTTGAATAAAGTTCTAGCGGCGTCCTCGGTGTTGCGCCGCCAGGGGTATTGGCGGCTGCTGCTTTCCGCAGTGGAGTTGTGGGGCGGAAGGGGGAAATTCAGGAATGCCGGGGAAGCGAGGCGGCAGTGCAGTCTAAAAAATTGCATTTTTTGAATTTCGGAAAATAAAATTAAATATTTTGGAGAGAATGCGCGGGAAAGCTGCGCAGGCTGTGCCTATTCGCAGCGTGAATGCCGGTGCCGCCAGCAGCAGCACCGCTGGTCACCTGCCAGGAGTGCAGCGGGAAGTTTCTTCTGCGTCGCGCATTCTCACCGGCCCCTGTCTATCTTTTTTCTTTAATTATTCCAACTTTAATTTGGATTAAAAACGCAAAATCGCCTTCAGGAGCAGCGAAAGAGCCAGCGTTTGGCTTGTCCTGGAGGGTCACCTGCGCTGGGCGCGAGGTAGCCGCGCGCGCAGAGGCCGTGCGCGGGGGCCTGAGCTCGTTCTTCCTCTTGTGTCCATTTTCTCTTCCCTTTTTGCATTTTGCAGAAAAGACTTGCAGGTAAAGGTTTCACAGGTCCGAATCGGAAGGTGGGCAGCAGCAGCAGCAGCAGCAGCAGCAGCAGCAGCAGCAGCAGCAGCAGGTTTCGCAGCGCGTGGCGTTGGCGCAGGATGTTGGCCCCGGACTCCCTGGCCGCGTCCGCGGCGGCTGGGGGCTCCGCCGGCAGCCCGTCCGCGGCGGCCGCGTCTTTGGCGGCGGAGGGGGCCCCCCAGGGGCCCCCGCAGAGCCCGCGCAGCGCAGAGTCCAGCGAAGCCCGCGGGGGGCCCCCCCCG